TTAGAAAACTTAGACTACAAATAGGCTAAATGTCCATACTACATGAATATTTTCTCAATCAGAATTCTAATAAGAAAATGTCAAATTATTTTTAGCAAGAGCCTAGAGTATTCCCATTTTTGCTAGTATACAATTCACATAATTTAGAGATTAAATGAAGGCACCCAAGTCTCTCCCTCTAGATCAAAGTAATAATACTTCAAAGGAAAGGTAGCCTAAGAACTCAACTGTAGGCCTGTCGGGCATGGTGGCTCATGCCTGTAGTTTGAGCACTCTGGGAAGCTGAGGCAAGAGGATCTCTTGAGTTCAGAGTTAGACTCCACAAAAAAGAAAAAAAAATAGCCAGGTGTTGTGGCAGGCACCTGTAGCTCCAGCTACGGGGAGGCTAAGAAGGCGGGAGAATCCCTTGAACCCAAGAGTCTGAGGTTGCTGTGAGCTAGGCTGAGGCCCGGCACTCTACCCTGGGGCAACAGAGTGAGACTGTCTCAAGCAAAACAAAACATACACAACTGTAAACAAAACCTGGAGCTAATAACCTCTCTTCAAAGTTATGTTCAGTTGGTTTTAAAGATTCAAGTTTTAACACAGAAAACAATGTTTTGCATTTAACCATGCTAAAATTGATAAAATACTATCAAGATGTTCTTGATAAACTAGTTCAAAAAATTACCTGGTCATCAAAATGGAAAATCCAAGTAACTCCTGTGTATATATATGTTTTTGGCATTAACAAAATAACACAACAGTCCATATTTCTGGATCTAAAATTTGTCTCATCTGACTACAGTCTGAATAAAGATTTACAGTCATAGTTGCCCTACCTCTACCACTCATTTATGTTTTTTAATGTCTCAATAAGATCAACTGTACCTTATTTAAGACTTTCTCCCATTGATACCTTTAATAAGTCTTTTATAAACAGTGCCTAAAATCAGAGCTCACCACTATGACATCTATAACTCACTGGCTATTCCTGACACGTATACTGCAGGAGAAACCAAAAAGAAGCTATCCTAAAACCAGGTGCCATACACACTTGTTGTCTTTTTTCGGGACTAAAATAATGTAAATAATCCACTACACAGTATATACCTTGGCAGGCAGTTGCAGGTTATGTTCCCCTAGGCAGTGTTAACTAGGTGGTTTTGTAGTGTTACTTTATAGCCAATTTAATAAATCTCTTCCAGGAAACAAACTAGGGGGTAGAAGTGCAGATGTAGTCCAAGCATACATGGATATATTTTGCTCCAAGTAGCTGATCACTATCTTTTTTCCCTGCCCATTTGCAGTCGATCAAAACATTCTGACACTTCAGGCCCCCTTTCTCCCTTTTCCTTTCACATTTCATAATACTTCCCCTTTTTGTACTTGGCAGCTACAGTGATAAGCACATGAAATGTGCACATCTGGATGTTTCCCAGTGCTCTACTATAAAATCTTTTATCCCCTCACAAAAGGATAGCTAAGAGTAAGTGAAGTAAAAATGAGCAACATGTAGCTTGAAAATGGGTATTACAGTAGTTAAATTTGCAAAATGGAGCATACTAAAGAAACTATGCTTTTACAAACATGCTTAAATAATAAATTCTTTCTAATACTTTAAAGCACTTTACAAGATATGAAAAGCCAGGCAAGGGCCAAACTTTTCAATTAAAGAAAGAAAAGAGGCTGGACACAGTGGCTCACACCTGTAATCCTAACACTCTGGGAGGCCAAGGCCGGTGGATTGCTTGAGTTTAGGAGTTGAAGACCAGCCTGAGCAAGAACTCTGAAAACAGCTGGGTGTTGTGGCTGGTACCTGTAGTCCTGGCTACATGGGAGGCTAAGGAAGAGGCCTGCTTGAGCCCAAGACTTTGAGGCTGCTAAGAGCCAAGGCATCCTACGAAGGGCAACAAGGTAAGACTTCCACCTCACAAATAAATAAATAAATAAATAAATTCCAATTTTATTAAGAATTAAAACAAACCTCTGGAAGGTGATATTTGTTTAATTAGGCAAGTCTTTTAATTTTTTATTTATAAAAATGGATCTTCTGAGTTACTGAAAGAAAAAGTCACGAAGGAAAAAACTATTAACTTGTCTTTAAACCTACTGCTACCTGTAACTCCTGAAAAAAAAAAAATTATACATCTACCTATATAGTTCTACAGCTTTTCATTCACTGCAAAAGCTTGAAATTATTTCTCTGTAAATCCACCTTTTCAACTACAAAATCAATAAATTTTAAATGAAATGTTTTCTGACACTGCCAAATGTAAAAATTAAAACATAAGATTTTAAACGAATGATAAGGTTTGAGGAAACCTTTTCCTACCACACAAAAATTCAAACCTGAGTGAGACAATTAGGAGTTAGAATGATGGTAATTCTGGAGGCACCCATAGCTCAGTGGGTAGGGCACCAGCCACATACACCAATGCTGGTGGGTTCCAACCCAGCCTGGGCCAGCTAAAATTGACAACTGCAACAACAAAAAAAATAGCTGGGCGTTGTGGCGGCACCTGTAGTCCCAACTACTTAGGAGGTTGAGGCAGGAGTTGCTTAAGCCCAAGAGTTTGCGGTTGCTGTGAGCAGTGATGCCATATGGCACTCTACCCAGGGTGACAGCTTGAGACTCTGTCTCAAAGAAAATTAAAAAATAAATCTATCTCCTTTACTATAGTTAAAGCCTCGTCATTATCGTAACCCAGTCACACAAAGCGCTGGACAATTTCTGTCTTCCTCTACAAAGAGGCAGTCTATCCCTGGTGGTCTTATGAAGAAATTAAACAAATTACGTGTCTTCTGCAGGGGGAAGATTCCCAGAGAGAAGGGAAGGGGTTCAGCCATATTTGATCAGTTTCCTCTTAAAAATTCATCTGAGGAGACAGAACAATAGGAGCAAGTCAGACTATATTTTAATGCCTTCTTAAAAACAGAAATTTGGTATGTCACGAGCCAATTTACCCAGCTATCAGAGCAGTATCTTATCTTACAACTCTTAGTAAAATAGCCTCAAGTTGTGAATTCAAGTCAGACAAAGCCATCTGAGATTCAAATGTTCAGATATTCTCAATGACCATAGGCTTTAAAAAGGTAGAGGGGAAAAAAACCAGAATATTTTCACATCTTACAAACCTAGCAAGGTCTTTAAATTAGAAAGTACTGAGAACTTTTCAGGAGACAAGAGTCTACATAACAAGGAGGCAGCTTACTGAAAAAACTGGCTCTGGATCTCACACCTGGCCCAAATCTTTGGCCATGATTGACCTCTGTTAACAAGGGTAAGTGCCTAATCAGAAAGACAAATTATCTTTCAACACCAGAAAGATTTGTAAGTATGGAAGGCTTAAGAGAAAAAAACTGAAACATTAATATCTGTGTTAAAATTCTGCATTACTTGGCATTTTATATACAGTACTTGTACTAAAAAAATGTGCCTAGTAAAGTGACAGCCTTATAAGAGCAATTTAAATGTCAGTTACTTGGGCTTTTTAAAAAGTCGAAATACTGAAAGGTTACCTAAGAGAACTTTCGACTCAAATAAAAGAAACCCACGTGCTAAAATTAAGCAGTTTACTCAGATTGTTTGAAGATGCTCACATCTGCTAATGCCAAGTCCAACTGGAAGATAAAATAGCTAGACTTGTGCAGAGAGTAAGAAAACTTAACTTCAAAAATAACCTGAACGTAAAGCCTAAGAACCACGATTCTGAAATGCAGCTTTAGTTTTTTAAATTAGTGTAAACCGTATCTTCACACAATCTGCCCTCGAGGACATCAAGAAACAACTGTATACAATGCAATTTCACCAAAAAATTGGAATTTTAAAGACATTCTTGCAACAGGGAAATGACATCATTTATTTATGACTGCACATGAATTAAAAAACATAGAAGAGAAACAACCAATTAAAAATATCCATCCTTGTATTTTTAACAGGACTCCTAGTCAGAATTTCTTAAATCACCTTCCAGTACTCCAAGTCACACGGTGAAGAGTCACATATTAAACAAGATTCTAAGCTTCAAAAAAGCTTTTAAAATCCTTTGGTAACTTCCTTTATTAAAACTGTTTTCTCTACGTCCAGTACCTTCACAGGGGTCCACCCTTCTCTGCAGGGTTTTAAATCATTGTTCTAAAGGTTCCTATAAAAACCTTCATCAATTTTCTTAACAAGTAAGAATCTCGAAATACTAAGTTCTAACATGATATCTTATTGCATATGATATGTTGGCAACACATATATATTCCTCCCCCCAAAAGTTTAAGTACATGTTAGAACTAAAACCTAAGAAAAGTAGGTCTTCTCTAGCTATGTGCTCAAAAGTAATGCTAACTTTTACACACGTGTTTGGGCATAAAACCTTAAATATTTCCCAAAAATCTGACCCAGTTCAGATACGAAATATTCCTAAAACACTAGAAGCCGCTCATCTTGTCCTTGGTTTTAAATTCACACATTTGAGTACTGAAATCTGTAACAAAACACAACATTCCTTACCAGTGGCACCTAAACAAGTCGAACCCCAAGTCATTGTTTCTTTCATGCCCGCATCTATAACGAACTTTTCGCGGACACACTCGGGACTGGAGAACCCCACACCTTTTTTCATAAGCCCACTCCTTCCTCTTCACCCACTTCCAACTCGAACGCTTCTCTGGATCCACCCAGCCTCTTCCCCACTTTCTGAACCCAAGAGAGCTGGGGTGGACGCGTCCCCAGCCTCAAGCACGCTGAAACCCAGGGAGATCCCGGTCGGTGCCCTAGGCCCGCGCGGCGGGGCGCAGGGGAGGGGGGGAAGCGGGAAATGGAGCGCGCGGCGCCCCCTCCCCCGCGCGGCGCACACCCCCTTCCGGCACCCCTCCCCCTGCATTGTGCGAGCGGGCCCCAGGCCGCACTTCACCCGGCCACCCCGCAGGCCTGCTCTGCTCCCGACGAGGCCGCCACACAGAGCTCGGGCAGCCAGCCTCTGCGGCTCCAAAAGGACTGGAAACGAAACAAGTGCGGGCTGACTTACCGGGCTGCTGCGGCCGCGCTGCCTCAGCCGGGGACACCGACCGTTGGGCACACGGCGGCGTCGCTCGTGGCCGTCCTCCCCCTCTTCCGCCTTCGGTGGCGGCAATGTCTTCTTTCTCCACCTACCTCCCTCCCCCCCACCCCACCTCCTCCTTCTCCTCCCACTCCTCCTCCGAACCTCCGAAGTATCGAGGATGAGACACAGAGACTCACAACAACATGGCTGCCACCGCCACCTCCCCTCCCCCCGCCCATCAGGCGCGCGCAATGCACTCCGGGAGAAAGAGGAGGGGGCGAGCACTCACAGAGGCGCGGCTTCTCTCAGTGGCTTGCGTCCCTTCTCCCGCGCTCCAGGCGCGGGCCAGCCCGGACCCTGCGCGTGCGCACGCTATCTGCACTCTCACGTGTTAGGCCCTCCCTCTGGCGTGCCCTCCTCCACCCTCACCTTGCGGGCTCGCGCGCCTTTCCTGGGCTCGGCCACGGTGTCCGGCGGGAGCGCGCCCCCACCCCCACCCCGGCTCGGACTGCGCAGGCGTGGTGTTCCCGAACTCTGCGTTCAGCTGTCTGCGGGCGTGGGGCCTCGGCTTCCGAATTCGTTCACCCTCCGCTTCCTCCCTGGTAGCTCATTGTTCTCCCCCAGCTGCCTATGCGGGTCTCAGCTGCGCCGCCGAGGGGTACTCGTGGCATTTCGCTTCCGGGGTGTCGACACCCACGGGGGCCGGGCAAATTTAGACCTTTTGCTTTCACCCTTCCCCCCCCCAACACACACAAGGCGATGGAGATGCTTTTGGGGGAGGAAACTTGCTCCTTGCATGTGGACAGTCACTTTCCTAGTAGTCGTTCCCTGGGCAAGCGGAGCTGTCTGCGAGCTCATTGTCAGCCCCAGTGCTTGGCCTGGGCGAACACAAAGGAAACTCCGTCGGTCTCCAGCTGGGCCAGCGGAGAACCCCCAGCGGTTCTCACTGGGGGCTGTTTTTTTCTCACGGGCTGAGCGCTCTCCCCTTCTCAGTTTTCGGGCTACTTGGAGACTCCAAACCTGCCCTGCGGAATAGCAGCCGCCCTCCTGGCCCGGCATCTCCGCCGAGAGGTGGTGGTGATTCCAGAATTCTGACCCAACTGGCTCCCTGCCACACAGCTGTAACGTGGAAAAGCATCGGCACCAAGTCCGACTTGTTCTTGATCGTTGGCACAGCTCTTGGCTCTCCTAATATTCTGTACTTCGCTAACATTCAAGGCCTTTTAATTACTTCACTGGGCGACTTTAAGCTCCCAAAGACAGCGACCTTGTGCGTTTTGTTCCACTACGTCCCCCAGTGCCTGCTGAATGCATTAGCTCTTAGTCTTTTAATTATTACTAAAAAATGTCTGACATCGAAATCTATCTCAAGCTTTTAACTCAGGCTTAAATTTCAGGCATCTAAATTATTTCCTCTTGAATATGATTTCTCTTGCCAAGCGTGTTAAAAGCTGAAGTCGCGCCCAGCCCCCACCCCCACTTCTGCACTGTCCGGCAGTTGGCGATGCCACCACCTATTCATTCCCCAAAGAGATGTTCCAGGGTGGATTCAAGTCTCTTGGTCTCAATTCCATATTCTGAGGGAGGGTCTGGGTTGGGTTTATCTATTTTCTTTCAGACTAAGCAACTGTAATATTAAGACTCCTGCTGTTAATCTGCTCAATGAAGGCAGGCAAAATGTCTCCCTCCAGTGTCACCTATTCTTACTCGATTGTGGGACATTTCTTAAAGAGATATCAACACTGAACGAGCACTCCTGTGAAATGCTACTCCCAATATAAATCATTTACCAAACTTTGCAGATTTTTACTTCTTAAGTATTTTTGGAGACAGTCTCTTCCTCTACCTCTTCGCTAATAGTCGCTTTGTTTCCAAGGTCTGGATTTTGGTAACTAGCTCTTAATCAGCCTTCATATCTCCAGTCTCCTTCCCATCAATTCTCCCTGCCAACTAAAATGGAAACCTGCGCCCTGGCACTCAAGCCTCTGCATCAACCATTTCATTGCTTCCTGTCACCCACAATGGCATTTCCCAAGTGTGCTGTCAGTGTTAACAGATGTTTCTTTAAGAAATGTCCCGGCTCGGCGCCTGTGGCTCAAGTGGCTAAGGCCCCAGCCACGTACACCTAAGGTGGTGGGTTTGAATCCAGCCCAGGCCCGCCAAACAACAATGATGGCTGCAACCAAAAAATAGCCAGGTGTTGTGATGGGCACCTGTGGTCCCAGGTACTTGAGAGGCTGAGGCAGGAGTCTCCCTTGAGCCCAGGAGTTGGAGGTTGCTGTGAGCTGTGATACCACAGCACTCTACCCAGGGGGACAGCTTGAGGCTCTGTCTAAAAAAAAAAAAAAAAAGAAAGAAAGAAAGAAATGTCCCTTGATCAAGTGGGAATAGGAGATGCTAGAAGGCAGACATTTTTCCTGCCTTCTGCCTTCTCCTGCCTTCTCCATTGTGCTGATCCAGTGGAATAGTCTTTATATGCAGTTGCTTAGTCTGAATGAAAATAGGTTAACCCATCAGTGGTTCTCCCTGAGTATATGGAACTGGGACTATGAAACCCCAGTCTCTCCCTGGGAAGTCTCTTGAACCTGGGAATTCTTGGGCTGATGTGTCTTACCCTTGTAGACAAGGAACCCATAGATAAGCATGGAATTGATTAGAAAAAAAGAGTCCAGACAATGTTTGTCTTCCACTTGTTCTGTGCCTGGCTGGCTGCCTCTCCTCTTGGAGTCTGAGACACATGCCTGTATCCTTATAATGAAGATGTGCTTTTTTGCTTAAGCTAGATGAAGCGAGTCCCTATTACAACCAGTAGTCATAACTGAAAGCCCTGTATATACTAAAGTTATTTATTTTTGCTTACAGTGTGCAATACCAAAGCATTTTCCACACCTCCATAAGCAAGGCCAACTTCATGGCCGAGTAGCCTGTGCAGTTGCACAATGCCTCGAGCTTAGAAGGAGGCACAATTGGTTTAACGCTCTGTTGTCACCGGAGAAAGTCTTCATGGTTTTTGGAAAAGGCACCTCTCATTTTCATTCTGCACTGAGCTCCAAAAATTACATAGCCTGCCCTGCCTATGAGGTATTATCTGTTTGACAAAAGACTTGTTTCCTACCATCGGTCTTAGTGCCTTTAAAATCAAAATATATGTTGTAAATATCCAAGAGAGGGACATAGTATGCAATGCGTCTCAACCAAATTCAACCCAAATTCAAAGACTTATTTTATGAAGAGTCTCTTATGGGTTTTGTGCTCTGAAGGACACAGGTTTAAACCTTTTAGTGATCTGACTCTGCCTGTGTCCCCTTCTCTTCTCCAGCCCCTGATTCCCTGTGCACAATGAGCAGTTCTTCTGTCTGTGCCTTCACATATGCTTTGCAATCTGCCATGCTCATTAAGCACTTCTGATTACAATTGGCTTCTCTTTAGATTTACCTACAAGGAAAGAATGTACTCCTCAGCTAATGCAAATATCTGGTGAGCTTGGTAGTTGAGGAGGACATGTAATTGACACCTCAATTGCCATTCTAATCACTGGGGAGATTGTTAGACATGCAGAATCTTGGCTTCATGCCACACCTATAGAATCAGAATTTGAATTTAAGATTCCTCGATAATTTCTATGCACAGTAAAATTGGAGAAGCATTAGAAAGCCAATCTCAATAATTCCATTTGCCAACCTGGTGCCATGCTGTAATCCTAGCACTGTGTGAGGCCAAGGTGGAAGGATCTCTTGAGCTCAGGAGTTTGAGACCAACTTGAGCATGAGTGAGACCTTGTCTTTACTAAAAATAGAAAACCCCCCCCCACATATATATATATGTACTATAGAAAAAGAACTAATACCATCCATCTCACTAGAATGGTTCTGTAACAAGCCAGCAAGGGACACAAAGAGGTGCCAACTCAGCTTATAGGAGAAAGAAGCCAATCTCGCTCTCCTAGTTGGAAACAAGAAAACATGTTGCCACAGTCTCTGCCCATGAGCCTCTTATAATGGCAAGGGAAACCAGACTGCTAGTTGCCTAACCAGTATTCCTTTTCTCCTTCTTTCATAGTAATTGGTCCTGGTATGGATGTTTCTGTGGGCTGGAGGAGGCACAGAATGGAATTTACTGACTTTCCAGCCACAAACAATGCATCTTAGAATGTGTCTCTAGGACTCGTGAATCAGATGGTTCTCAATCAAAGTTGCACATCAGAATCACCTAGGGAACATTGAAAATCCAGTAGAGCCTCTCTGGAAGTTGACCACCCAAAGGACTGTAACCAACTGGTGAATATATGGTGGTGGTCAACATAAGGAACTAGGCCTGCTGTACTGATACACATATTATACGTATATACATTTTACTTTCTTGCACAGCTTTTATTAAGAGAATATAAAAAATCATACCGTATCATACAAAATCAATATATTTACTGTGTTCTTATGAATTAGACATTCTTTCTGAAAAAAAGAGTCAATCTTTGTCTCTAATTCTTATTACAAACATAAATGGAGAAAGCACTCTAAAAGTTGACCAGAACACTCAGCATTTTTCCACAGCAAATGACTTCAACTGTGTTACATGTATCAGCTGCCTGCTATCTTCTTTTGGAGTCTCTGCAATTTCTGTGTCATCCTCACTTGCTCTTTTCACTTCATCAGCTGCTTTGTGCACTGTTACACTGGTCTGTACTTCCATCAAAATCACTTGGAAAATTGCTTCTCAGTCAGGTTCATTATAGGTTACCACCTCATCATCCATGGCAACAAAACCGTCAAAATTTATTCCTGTTAATTCTGCCATGGAAGATGGACTGTCTGATGGGGGCCAAAGACACTGTGTTCCTGGGTTGTGACAAATCCAGCTTTCTTGAAACACTTCTGTATTGTTTCTGAATGAATTTTATTCTAAGCAGAATTGATTCAGTTTCCAGAGTGTTAATTGATGCGGCGGATGAAATTGTTTTCACAGGTGGACCACAGTTTTCTGTTTGTTTGTTTGTTTGTTTTTTTTGAGACAGAGCCTCAAGCTATCCCCCTGGGTAGAGTGCCATGGCATTACAGCTCACAGCAACCTCCAACTCCTGGGCTCAAGCGAGTCTCCTGCCTTTGCCTCCCAAGTAGCTGGGACCACAGGCGCCCGCCACAACGCCCGGCTATTTTTTGGTTGCAGCCGTCATTGTTGTTTGGCGGGTCCGGGCTGGGGATTCGAACCCGCCACCTTAGGTGTACGTGGCTGGCGCCTTA